TTTCTTTCTTTTTTCCTTTTAGAATATCTTTACAGTCTTTTCTCCAGAGAACAATAACACACACATACTATAAAGAAAAGCACCATTTAACAATCTCTTCCATTAAAATAATGTATCTTTTAATGTAAAGAAAAACATAATTATTGAAGTGTGGGGCTACCTGGAGCTAGACAGTGTCTGTAATTAACATCACCTGAAAATTCATGAAATGAGGAAAGCCAAATTTTATTCTCAGACCTGCGTGGCAAACAAAAACGTCTTAAGAATGCATTGTGCCAGAAGTGAAGAAAACACTAAATAAAGAAATGGTGTTGAACTAAAATAGTGACAAGGTTTCTTTCTGTTTTCATGGTGAATTAATACTGGTTATTTGCCCTAAATTAAAAACTTGGAACACTTACTTTATTCAGAATATACCCTACAATCACAAGACAGTGAATAAAAAAGTGTCCAAAGTGTCCCGATTCATGCTCATGTTCACCAGCAGCTAGAGCCGAAGGGGAAATGAGAGGGCATATAATTTTGGGCAGGAGTGTCCAAAGGCAGCAATGCTACTATCCATGGCATGCAACGGCCTTGGCACAGGATCAGTGCAATTCTTTCCCAGGGCCTATCTCTAGGATCACAGTCTCTTAGTATGAGTGTCCTAACATCACTGAACTCCAGGTTTCCCCAGTTTTATCCTGCTACATTCTGTTGGTGAACTTCAGTGTTATTTTTAATTCATATGTGTGTTGGTATGAAGAAGAAAATTGGGGAGAGACCTTTTAAAAAAGAAAACAATAAAAGATTCAGAAAAATGTTGATGTCTATGTCAGAGTAACTTTTTATATTAAATAGCCAAATTTTTATGACCCTACCTTAAGCAGCAGAATAATATAAATACTGTACTTAAGCAACCATTAATAAAAACTCCACTGTATGATCACAAAGAGATAATAAAAAATAGAGTGAGAAAAAGAGGGACAGGAGGAAGAGAGGGGGGGAGGAAGAAGGGTAGAGAGAAGGGGGAAGACACAAAAAAGAAAAGGTGAAAGGATAAAAATTACAAAAAAATATGCTTTTCAAAAATAAAAGATATGTGCATATAAAATATATTATTAGATCTACCATCTAATCCCTCTAAAAACTGTACCAAAACATACACAATTACAACTATATCAAAATTTGAGAATACCAATTTCCTTTCAAATTGTGAGTCACATATAAAGAAAAAAACTTTTTCTCTTTCAAAAATCACAAATGTTAGTATTCTTTTCCTATAAAAACCTGGTAAAAAATTGCAAGTGTTCAATCTAAAAGGGGCAAAGTTTAGTTCCATCATGTGGGAATGGGGAAAGAAAAAGAAGAAACTAGTAATATCAAAAGGAAAAGAGGAGAAAAGAGAGAATGCAAAAGTAGCTAAGAATAAACAAAGTGAAATGTGACAAATGGAAAAATACAGGGAACAGATGAAGTAGTAAAATTCCACATTTTGGTCTGGTAATAAAGGAACAACCTCTTCTTCCTTCAAAGCTTGTTTGTTGCCTATAGCCTTTATCTCCATTGGTGGCACCACCGTTTACCCAGTCACCCATTTATAAATCTGGGAGTCTTCAATCTAGCTCCACTCCAGATCCAGCCACCAGTTTTCAGAAAGTACAGGGATAACTGTACAGTTTTTCTCATTGATCCCTAACTCAACCCTCCAGTGTACTGGCAGTTTATCACATATGCCATGCTTCATCCTACCTCTGAGCCTTTGTTGTACTGTCCCTGTGAACTCTAATGCCTCTCTTTCTGCATCATCTTTGCCCCATTTCACTCACAAAGTTCCCCACACCAAACAGTCCCTGCCCCAAAACTGACTAGGTCCCCGTCTGTCTACTCTCAGAATGTCCTACACAAATCTCTTTCACTAACAAAGTACGACAGTTACCTTCTGCGTGACTGCCTCTTCTACCAGACTGGAACCTTTTCTGTTATATTTACATCAGCTCAATGTGTAATACAGGGCCTGGCCTTCTAAAACTTGCTAAAAATGTTTACCATAAAATGAATGGACAGTTAAATGGCATGTGATACAGTAAGTTCCCCATCTCTGAGAGTTTTCACATAAATCAATATATTAGGACATTCTCATCTAGATAGGAGGTGTGATCTACTACATGACTGTGATATTCTCTCCATTTCTACACACATTCTTACTTGTCCAACCCTCTGACTTTTATTCAGCCCTTTATAATATTTAACAGTGGGGGTATATGACTTATACTTTGTACAGCATGGCCTGTGGCTAAAATGTCATCATAAAAAGCTTATTAAAAATGTGCTAACACAAAACACAAAGCAACTCTGAGAAAAAAAGGACAAAATGTTAGGCATCATGATCCCCAATTTTAAACTATACTGTAAACTATAGTAATCAAAACTGTATGGTATTGGCAAAAAAAAAAAAAAGACACAAGAAACCAATGGAACATAATTGAGGGTCCAGAAATAAACCCAAGCAAATATGGTCAACTAATTTGATAGGGAAATGAAGAATATTCAATAGAGTAAAGTGAAAAATTGGATAATCATGCAAAAGTATGAAACTAGACCTCTATCTTATGCCACTCACAAAAAATTGGCCTAAGAAACTTGGACTAAAACCTGAAAACATAGGTGAAAAGCTCCTTGGCATGGGTCTTAGTAATGATATTTTGGAGATAACAAATAAAGTACAGCAACAAAATAAAAAATAAACAAGTGGACTACATCAAACTAAAAAGCTTCTGCATAACAACAACAAAAAGAAAAGTCAACAAGCCCTGCCTGTCATATCCAAATGGATGGGGTAACATCCCACAAACTGAGAGATCACTGGTTCGATTTCCAGTCAGGGCACATGCCTGGGTTGTGGGCCAGGTCCCTGGCTGGGGGCTTGCAAGAGGCAACTGATCAATGTTTCTCTCATACAATGACATTTCTCTCCCTCTCTTTCTCCCTCCTTTGTCCTCTCTCTAAAAATAAATAAATAAAATCACAAAAAGATAAAAAGACAACCTATGAAATGGGGAAAATATCCACAAACAATATATCTGATAAGAGGTTAATATCTAAAATATACAGGGAACACATACAACTCACTAGCAAAAAAAAATAATAATCCAACTTAAAAATGGATAAAGAACCTGGATAGACATGTGTCTGAAGAAGATATGATGACCAATAGGTATATGAAAAGATCCTTGACATCACTAATTATTAGGGAAATGAAAATCAAACCCCCACAGTGAGATATTATCTCATATGTACAACAAAAAGACAAGAGTTAACAGATGTGAAGAGAAAAAAAGAACCCTCATGCAATGTTGGCAGGATTGCAAACTGGTGCAGCCACTATAGAAAACAGTATGGAAGTTCCTCAAAAAAATTAAAGAGAGCTACCATAGGATCCAAGAATCCTATTTCTGAAAATATATCCAAAGGTAATGAAGACACTATGTCATAGAAATATTTGCACCCCATGTTCCTAGCAGTATTATTTACAATAGCCAAGACATGGAAACAACCTAAGTGTCCATTCATGGATAAATGGATAAAGAAAATATGGTATATTGTTGGGGACTGCCCTGCCTGGTCTCAGGAAGCTGTAACCCCCTGTGACTTAGGCTGAGTGAGAGACCTCTGGACCAGGAGCCACTAAGGAGACAAAACTTATTCCCTTGGCATGAACGCTGCCTGTTCTGTGCCTGGCCTCCTAGGCTTGGTCAGTTAGCCAATGACAGGTAAGATTTCCCATGGAGGGAATTGTCTAAGACAGGCATGATCACGAGGAGGCCTCAGGGAAGAGACTTGGGGCTGTGGAAATGAAGGGGTGATGGATATCAATCCCTGCCCCCTCGGCTTTGTCAAAGCCTGAGTCCTTGTTCTTAGATGTGAGAAATCCAAGTCTCCTGGCTGCCTTTGTCTCCTCTGCCCAACTCAGGCCTGAGGAAATAACAGGGGCGGTGCCGTTCAGACTAGGGACGGCGGACCCCCGGGGTAATCAGGCCTGGGACATAGAATATACAAGATCCTGTGAGATCTGTTTGCTGGAGTATGATTAGATTAGAATTTGAAGGCACAGACAGGAAACCAAAACGAGCCCTTTGAGCCCTGTAGTCCTTTCAAATGATAAAACTCCAAACTTTGCCCAGAATCACAGAGGAGATTCTGTCAGCATCTTTGAAAGTCACCTATTTATTTTGATCTTTTCTGCCAGACTGTGAATTCATGAACTAACTCTATATTCTTAATAAAAACCTGCTTGGGAATGGAAATGGAGCGCTCCCCACTAGAGAGAGTGGCCGTTCTGTCCCTACTTCCCCACAGGACCTGGTTGTCTCTGTGTATGTTTTTCTCATGTTTTGATGAGCCACCCCCAGTGTTCCACGATCACTGCAGGCCGGTGAGTACATACCAGTATATATATAGATATAGTTTATACAATGAGACATTATTCAGCCATAAAAGAAGGAAATTCTGCCATTTGCAACAACACAGATGAACCCTAGGGGCATTATGTTAAGTGAAACAAGTAGAAGAGAAAGACAAATACTGTAAGATCTCATTTATATGTGGAATCTAAAACAGAAAACACAGAAAAAGAGATCATATTTGTGGTTAACAGAAGAAGGAGCCAGGGGAGGAGGAGTGGATGAAGGCGGTCCAAAGGTACAAACTTCCAGTTGGAAATAAGCACTAGGGATGGAATGTGCAATGTGGTGACTATGGTTAACACCGATGCTTGGTGCATAAGGAAATTAAGAGAGTAAGTCCTAAGAGTTCTCATCACAAAGAAAAAGCTTTTCTTTTCTTTTGTATTTATATGAGGTGATGGATGTCAACTAAAGTTATTGTGGTAATCATATCACAATATATGAAAGTCAAACCATAATGCTGTACACCTTAAATTTATACAGTGCTGTATATCAATCATATCTCGACAACACTAACGAAAACTCAGAAAGTATGCAAACATTTGTATGACTTACTGAATACATCTCCTCTGGGTTTCTGAGGATCTGTCTGTATCCTGTTGTCAACCGTCATCTCTCCTGGAGATGTGGTGGCAGGTGGTGCTATAGTCGTCGGTCTGAGGACTGGTCTTTCTGGGGTGGGTGGTGGTGCAGGGGTTCTGAGCTCTGTGGGTGGGGGTGGGGGTGGAGGTGGGGTAGGCCATGCTGTTGGCTTTGGTGTAGGTCTTGTTGTTGGCTTAAAAGTGGGCCTGTTGGTAATGACAGGAGGGATGTATGGTGTCTTCTGAGGCCACCTAGTACTTCCGACATCAGGAATCCAATTACTGTGTCCTCCATCACCCTTTGAAATGGTACCATTTCCCTTTGGTCTATGAATTGGACCTGAAGGTTCAATCATGACTTTGGGAATATCTAAAAGAATCAAAAGGTTTCAATCAGTGCTGAACCATCTCTTCCCCCAAAGGAAAAACATCAAATTATAAAAAACAAACATATCAAAATATGTGCCAAAGAGGCTTACTTTTCACATTTAGAATATTCCCCATCTGTAAATCATGCTGTTTTCTAAATAACAAATATGCATATATATGAATGTGATACACATTAAACCAATCAGTGGGTGAATGCAAAAGTTATGTTTGTGTTTCTATAATGAATATGTACTATTTGAAACAAAAAAGTTGTATTTGTAAAGTGGAAACAAATGACAATTGATGATATTTTTAAAAGTGCAGAGATATTCTAAAATTTTTAAATGAGAAAATTTTAAATAAAGTCTTTGTTAAGTATCCCTATGGTATATCTATATTATAAAATCAAGCTTAGAATTGTCTAAAGACTAATTTCTCTTCTTTACAAATATTTGACTCATACAAAACATTTTTATTCAATTTTCTGCATATTGTTTTAGTTGGTATTTCTTTCCTCTTATTAATTTATATAATAGCTTTTTAAAGGAAATTTTAAGAGGTCACCAAGATCAGCTGTGGAATACCTTTCCTTGATTTTCTTCACCCAAAGAAATGAATATTTAATCTACCTGGAATGATGTACTCCTGGGGCAGCACGAATACATGACCTTTCAAAGATCCTTAGTCCACATGATTTTATGCCCCGTGATTTTCAGGAAATATTTTACTCCAGAAATTTAATAAATTCTTGGTGCATGAAATATATGCTAAATTATGGCTTTGGTTTGTGAAACTTTCATCTTGGAGGTTACTTTTTACATGTTTATCTACTAATACACACATACTACAAACAAAGCTTATGAAAACTTAAAAAGCAAAACAGTACTAAATGTAGAGAAAATAGATAAATATGGGAATTTTTTAGAATAGGAGGAATAATAAAACAGAGGAACCAAAAATGTGGAATATATTCAGATTATCCCACCATCATAATCTAATGCTAATGCCAAGCAAACATTTATTTCTAATTTTAAGAAAATCAAGTTCTCTGGGAGGACTCTAAAATTTCTTGCCAGCTAAAGGGAAGCTACTGAGAAATTTTAGCCAAGGACCTGAATGCTTTTAAGAATAGAATGTATTACTGAGTCTTTAAATTTTAAAAATACCTGAACAAATGACTTTTTTTGTTTGTAGAAAGCAGAGACTAATATTACCAGTTATAAAAATTGTATTTCTTTGATAAATTAATTGTGCTCCTCATCTTCCCTAGTAATGGCCTTTGGGCGATGTGTATACCGGCCACAGCTTAGAGCTGGGAGATAAACATTACTCACATACGCAACTCAGTCCATCGCCGTGGTACCCGTCTTTACATTTGCACTTGTAGGACCCGTGCACGTTGAAACAGCGTGCGAAGCTGCTGCAGTGGTACTGACCGAGGGAGCATTCATCTATATCTGTATCGGGATATAGAAAAAGAAGAGCTTTATTTGGTAGATAAATGTGAAGGCATAAAAATATACATAGAATTAAAAAAAAAATTTTTGCCATGTGAATGTCTATGTAAAATTGGCAGGTAAACAGAAGAAATACAGTACCTGTGCATCCAGAACTACTAGTGGTTGAACTGGACTTCTGTTTGTCTGATGCCAGCACCCTCCCCGCTCCACATCCCAGGCATCAGCACAATGAAGAGGCCTTTCTACACCATAGGAAGAAATGGCAAAACGCAATGACTGGGGCTTATTACCGTGACATTGGTATTTGCCTCCGATGTACATGAGGTCGAAGCCTGTGTGACACTTGCAGATGTAACTCCCGAAAGTGTTGACACACTGCCTAAACCTAGGGCAGGAGGCTCTTCCAGTAGCACATTCATCAACATCTAGAAACACAAGTCAGTTGTAGTTTAGGTGGAGCGATAACATGTTCCGATGGAGCATATTTTAAAATAAATAACTGCAAACAGTTCCCTCATGGCACACAGTGATGCGTCATAAATATTATCCAGCTGTTGCCCCCAGAGGCACCATAAATTCTACAGCTCCATCCTTCACTCCATCTTCCCAGCCCAGGCTGCGGGCTCCTCCCCCACCATATCTCAGCGCACACTGCTCCTGCATCCACCTAGCTGCCCGAACTAAAACATGAGTTGTCCTTGACAGCCCTATTTCTCTTTACCCTAAATCATCAGGCCCAGTTACTTCTACCCCTGAAAGATTATTTGAATGTGTCTCCTCTTCTCTTCACCCATGGCCACTACTCTCTTATAACCGGCCATCTCCCAGGCCTCCTAACCTGATTTTTTCTCAGCCAGTCTCACCCCCTCCAAAGCATTCCCACCCACCCATTGAAATGATTTTATCACAATATAAAATGGAGTAGCGTCATGCCTAAAACTTTCGTACTGTTTCTACTTGCTTTTTTGAATTAAATCCTCATTCCACATCACAACCTTGAAGGTTCTGTAATAAATAGCCCCTACCTACCTCACCGGTTGTATCTCAAGCCACCAACCTCCATACTCCCACTCTGTACTTAGCCACCTTGGCCTTCCTTCTCTCAGTACCTCAAGTAGGCCTTGTTGACCACAGTGCCTGCATCATTTCCGCCTGCTTGGCTGATTCTTCACATGACCAATGGTCCAGGTCTTAGCTTAAGGCTTTCCTTGACCATTATTTTTTAAAATAGACTCTGTTTCTTTCTCCTGTAAGTCCTCATACTTAGAAGTATTTGTAATTTTATTGTTTTTTTTTTCTGTCTGCCCCATTAGAATATCAACTTTGTGAGGATCAAATTCTTGTCAGCATGGTCCATTACTGCATATCCTGGCCTTAGCACAGGGCCTGGAATATAGGAAGTAACCAATACATGTTTCTTGAATCACCAAATACCTCCATTCATGGAGTACTTACTACATGCTGGGTACCATGTTAAGCTCTTTCCATACCTGAGCTCCTTTAATCTTCAAAATGGATCAATGTACCATTACTCCCATTTTAAAGATGAAGAGACTCAAGGTCAAAGACAGGAAGTCTCTTACCTAGGTTACATATCATGTATATGGCAGAGAAACCCTGACTTCTGTGGCTCAGTTGGTTGGGCTTCATCCCTCAAAGTGAAAGGTCACCAGTTTGACTCCTGGTCAGGGCACATGACTGGGTGGCAGACCCAGGCCTGGTTCCCATTTGGGGTGTGTGTGAGGCAACCAATTGATATTTCTCTCACACATGAATGTATCTCTTCCTCTTTTCCTCTCTCCCTTCCCCTCTCTCTAAAAATAAATACATAAAATCTTTTTTAAAAGTATATGGTAGAGGTAGCTTTGAAACCAGAGCCCTGACTCTTAATGACAATTCTATACTACCTTCCTAATCTACTGAGTGCAATATATACAATCTAGCCCTATGTATCTTTTCAGCTTTATCAGTCATTGCCCCTTACATGCCAGAAATACCAAGTTCTTGTTTCCCTCAACATTGTGCTTCTTCCAACTCCAGTGCCTTTGCACATATGCTTCCTCTTGCCTGAAGCTTTCTCCTGTCCCCCATTTTTAGAAAAAATAAGGTTTCCATAGTTGATTCACAGAGAGAGGTCCTCTTCTGAGATAGCTGATAGCTTCTGAAGGACAGCTAATCACCTGACATAAACAGCTGCCTTTTTTTCTCACTCCCATCACCTTTCCCTTTCCTTCTTTTCCTAGAGAGCCTACTGACAGAGACACTGGGTTCACAACTCACCCACACAGGTCCGCCTGTCGGGAGCCAGCTGCAGGCCAGGAGATGGGCACTGGCACCGAACCTGTCCTTTGATGACATCACAGCCATACTGACAGTTGGCCATGGAGCACGTCAGGGCACCTGGAACGAGTATGACTGGCTGACTCAGGGAACAGGCTCCGCAACTGAAATAACTATGTCTCTAACTTGTCCTGAAATCTGTGTCACTCGGCTGACAATGAAGACAAAAAGGCCTCGATCATTCAACAGTCTAAAGAAAGTCAAAAAATAGGGAGAGAGACAGAAAGACTTTCCTCCTCCAGGGATTAAGAAGATTCAGAAGCGAACCAGCCCTGTTATCATCTGGGGCAGGCCTCTAATGCATTTGAGGAATTCAAAGGCAAGTGTAAAACTTGATCTCACATAGATTATCTGGAAATTTTTTTAGTGGCCAAGGAAAGTGGAAAATGAAAGCATGTTTCCAGATTGCGCGTGCTAAATGCTGGCCTTAAGTGAAGCACCTGCCAGATTGTCTCAGCCTCACCTTAGCTTTCCCGAGGGACAGCAGATTTCCCACTGAGCTGCGCAGTGTTACAGTTTCCCAGCATCACTGTCTCATGTTGTTAAGCATGGAACACCTCACTTCGAAATGCCCCATGCTAAATATGCAATACTAAATAAAATTAGCTAACCTTTTTTATTTTATAAAACACAACCCAGCTAGAGAGATAATTGATAATTAACTGACTGATAATTAGCTAATTTAACTGATAATTCTACAAAAATCAAAATCAAGCCATCAATTACTGGATATCCTATCAGCACAACCTCAATGCAATGTTTGGCTCTCAGAGAATTTTAGGGCATCACCTGTCTTATAACACAACCAAATGATAGCAGCACACACCATACATTTCTTTCCTACAAAGAAACAGATGGAATCTACTTTTATGTTTCTAAATCATTTTTTATTTTCAAATTCATTTTTTTAATTTGAAGTAGTTTTTTAAGAAAAGGTACATAAGTTAGTCCTTTGATTATTATAATGAAATGTAAAAATGAGGGGAGAAGGTATTTGTGAGTGGTTTACAATCAAGCGACAAGCTTAATGGATGCTCTACCAGCAAACAGTTTACAGTCCATCTTTATGGACAGCTCACAGTCCTGAAAGTGTCACTAATGTTTTTTTTCTAGCTGGAATAGCTCTATGCCCACACTGACAAAAGGGAAAAACATTAGAAAACACACTTACTTTCGTTATTGTCCTAAAATCATGTCCAAATCAATTTAACACTGGCACCCATGGTAAAAAAGTGCTAGCCATCTAAAAGGGACAGCTCCTATTTTGATTTTCAGTTCCTTAGGGACACATAACCCCCCCCCCCCAAACACACACACACACACACACACACACACACACACACACACACATACTCACATCCATCCTGTTTGGGGGAAGGCCTGGGAGGCCACTTTCATTTTCACACTACCAGCCCACAACATGAGAGAAACCAAGCCCAAAGCACTCAGAAAACAGTTAGGATTCTTGACATACTTGAGCAGGACCCGTCTGGCATGAGCATGTACCCGTTGAGACAGTAGCACTTGTAGCTGCCGTAAGTGTTCATGCACCTGTGCTTGCAGGGGCGCGGCTTCAGGCCACACTCGTTCAGATCTGAAAAGAGCGGAAGTTGGAGCCGAGTAATCACAAAACCTCTGCACAAATGTAAACCATTTAAAATACTTCTTTATATTGAAAAATGAAGGAGAAAAGTAGCTCAAGCTACACTAGCCAGTCATTTATAGCAGAGAGAGAGAGAGAGAGAGAGAGAGAGAGAGAGAGAGAGCCTGTTCACACTGTCTTAATTTTAATACTGTTATGCTAGAGGTGACCAAGATTTTATTTTCCTTTCACAGGTGATCAAAAGCCTAATAACAATGAAGAGACTGTATGAATTTCTGGAGCTTAAATTATATAGTAAATGTGATCTCTGCCCACCAAGGCCAGTTAGAGTACGCTGTGCCTGCTTCCTCATCCCTAGAAAGGGCAGCATCCTGACTCCTCATGGTGCTGAATCATCTGTCTGACTTCCGTACCCTCAAAACATCTGGGGTCTACTACTGGAGTCCCTCCTGACAATGTGTTCTTCCTCTATTGATTTCTTCCTCTCTTTGTTTAAAGAAGATACTAGAAAGTATCTGGATTTTAATGTTAGACTGCTTTGATGTTCCCAAAATAAAGCTATATTTTCAGAGGATAAGAGCTACTTGAATTAGAATGATCACAATTGTGGGTTTTCTTGTTCAGTTTTATAGATTATATACTGATCTAATATTAAAGAAGAAAATTTTAAAAATACTTCAGCATACTTTCATTCATTGGGTAGTTAAGAAGGACATATGAGAACACTAATGAATAATACATAATTGACTATCACTGTATAGCTTAGGGTTATTGATTTAAATATCAATATGAAATGAACTAACAAATTGCACATTATGAGAATTTTTCAACCCAAGCTGAACACTGCCTCAAGTGAACATAAAACCCATAACAACATATAAGCACTTCAACAGTGATGCCCCAAATACAGACTTCATTAAAAAGAAATATGACCACATGTTTATTTGGAACTGCCAGCATGATTTCATTATCAATCTATGTCATGAAAGAAGAAATATGGACAAATCTAGTTGCAAGTTGTCTTTAAATCTAATCAAATATAAACCTGACTTGATGTTTATTAGAAATCTATATATTTCACTTAATTAAACCACCAAGTTACTTTGTTTTCTAAAATCTTGAAACTAAAATTTTAAAAATGTTTTACTGACTCCCCAACTTGGTCTTTTTTCCTAGCCTGAACACATCTGTAAACAGATCCCCAGCTGGGTGAAATCCTAGAATATTAAATAATAAACATTTATGATTTCCTATGCTTTACTCAATTTTATACTTTATTTTGTCTTGCCCAGTCAGGGGTATGCAACACAGAATCACATTTAAAGATAATTCAAAATAATTTCCTCAAAGAAGGTGCTCTGCAGATTAGTCTCATCAGAATTTGATTTCTTCCTCTGTTAAATGAAGTAAAAAAATTTAAATCAAGAAGACAAAGAAATTCACTCCACTTCTCATATTCTTCTACTTTGCATTTTAATGTTTATTAAAAATTAAAATCAGAAACATCTTTTCTCATGTTCTAGGAGGAGTGGATTATCCTTGCTAATATTTCTCTGCCAATTCACACCTGGCTTTAATGAATCCCTGACTGATATTCTAGCATGTAGTATTTAAATCTGAGTACATTGTTAGAGAAAGGCTTTGTGTTTTAAATATATTTCTGCCTCAAGCAAAGATAAAATAGTACAGTACAACAAAACAGAGTTAGACTGAATTCTGTATCTCAAGGGAAGGATATTGATGGATATAAAACATGCCACTTAAGAAACCTTAGGTTTGCCTTGGCTGATATGGCTCAGTGGATTGAGTGCCGGCCAGCAAACTAAAAGATTACTGGTTCAATTCCCAGTCAGAGCACATGCCTGGGTTGTTGGCCAGGTCCCCAGTTGGGAACATGCAAGAGGCAACTAATGGATGTTTCTCTCACATATCCATGTTTCTCTCCCTCTCCTTCTCCCTCCCTCCCTCTCTCTCTAAAAGTAAATAAATAAAATCTTAAAAAAAAAGAAGAAACTTGGGTTTATTGTAAAGAGCCACAAAAACTCCTGTGGGTTTCTGGATGGGAACTGGTCAGATATTTGTAGCTCTAGGCAGCTTGCATACAAGGAGTACTTATGCTGATGGAAATTTCTTCAGACATTGTTTCCTTCAGACAAAGGAAATAAATGTGCACAATTCAGTGGGTAAATGTAGAGACATTTGTTGACTCTTTTACTGGTATGAAACTGACATGTAAATATTCAAATATGTTGGAAGCAATCTGAGAAAGCTGTACCCTACCAGCTGCTGATGGATTGGTTGACTCTGCTTGACAGGCCACTGGGGTTGATGGGCCCAGAACTGCCATTACTGTCCCACCTGCCACAGGCATCTGTCTCCTAAAACCTTCACAATAACCCTTACAAAACCCACTGCACAAATTATGAAATAGGATCCCACAATCCACAATTATCAATATTTACCAAATATCAGACTTTTGTTCAAGTAGAAAGCTTCAAAAGATTAAAAGAGCCTGATATTCTGTTGATGAACTTTTTTTTCAATTTTTCATCAGGTTTCTTTCTATTCTATGATTATTATATCTTATTTTCCCATTGATATAATGCCTTATATAATTGAGTTAATACAGGCTGCTTCCAAAATCTTGTGGACTACAGAACCAGTAACACTTGTATTACTGTCAAATTAAGTCAGAAATTCAAAAATGACACTTTACAGTAAATGCTCCTATAATAATAAGTGGAACAATATAAAAAACATGAAAAGTCTCCTTGATCACATTTTAGAAATCAATATTAAAAGTTGATAAAAGAACCTAAGAAAACAATCTTTTGTGTTTTTATTTTAAATTTACTTTAATCTTGCTCTTTCTCTAGAAATTTATAATATAATATAAATTAAAAGGAAAATCTATAACAAAAAATTAATGAATTGTCATGTACCTATCTTATCACACAAGGAATAGTACTTTACAATTAAACCACTTACATTCAAATGCTTTAATTATTAAGTATACAATTCTTAAAGAGCATTTATAAGTCAGGAGTATACTTAAGCAGGTTGGTAAATTCAGGAGCTTGGGGGAGGGAAGAAGGAGAAAGAAGCTGGTCCAGAACAAAAACACAAGCTGCGTAGCATTATACTGACACTTCAAGGGAAAAAAAGAGAGTCAGAAATTGTATTGGCATGCAGACACTGAAAAGTAGCTTGAAAATTTGCAAGAGAATCATGGAACAAGACAACCCAATGGATTTTTTAAGGGAAAAACATTTCATTTGTTTAATGCACTTATAGACTTTTTTCCTTTGAGGCTTGAACTGGACAATATCTCAGAAGCCTAAGCTTTCACATTTTATCTGACCAAAGCAGAGGTCACAGGGAAACAGATGTCGGTGTGTCAGCTGCCGTAACTCTTACACTTTAAAGACAGCAGTGACACATGACTGAAATTAGTTCTATGGCCCTATTCTTTGTGCAGAAGAAAGACAAATGCATCAAAGTCTGTTTCAGCAGAGAGTATTTTCTGATTTGTAGGATTTTAATTCCATTCTATGCTCCTACATCTGTCAGTGAGGGGGGATAGAGGTTTTCAGAAGAACTGTGAAATCATGCTGCCCCCTAACCTTCCTACAATGCTTTCCAGCATAATGATGACACTAATATTTCTGGTGTTTCTATTCTCACTCCAGCCCTGCAGAGAAACAGGGCAGGAATTACTGTCCCCCTATTACTAATTGTTTTCCTAACACAGACGTTTAAATGACTTTCTCACCTGAGGGCTATAGTGGAACCAGAGCTTAGGCCTTCTAACATGAGAAGATGAGGCACTAAAGGAAGGAAGCTAAGATACGGTTTCATTTCTGGTAGCCAGAACTCTATACCCTTTATTTGGTGGTGAAGAGGATTGATCCCATCTAAAATCTACTTAGAAAAAGCCATCAGAACACCATCTCAGTTGCTTTGATATTCCGGACTTCACCTACAAATGAAAACAAAAGTTCTTTTGCTATCCTATTTTTAGAAAACATTTTGAAACCCAGAGAAGAAGAAAAGCAACGATACTTGATGCAGTGAAAGGACAGCGGAGGCTCCAGGCTTTTTAGAGCACAGAGAGTCAGCGCGGGTGACAGTCCCCGCTGCTTGCGCGGAGGCAGGGCACCCCAGGGGCTCTTCTTCAGGATATTTGCGAGAAGTGACACAAGTGCAGGAAGCCGTGCAGGTGGGAGGCGCAGGCCCCCTGAGACAGTGCACGCTCACCCCTTGAAGGCAAACTTGTGGCTTGGTGGTCCTGGGGTTGGGAAAGAGGCTGCTCACTGCCTCGGTCGTGAGGAGTTGGGTAGAAGTGTTCGTCTTCACACCAGGAAGAAGGTAATAAGAGTCAACTTTGAACTGATGTCATTTTTAGCCCTAAAAATCTTTATAAGTATATATTAAACAATTACATAAAGTTGGTGGAGTTCAAAAAGAATGCTTTAGAATATAGATACTTTACAAAAATTAGTTTCCAGTTCTTCCAGTTTCTCTGTTTTTAAAATTTCTGTTTTCCTGCAAATTTATCATGGTCATCTTTCTCCCCAAGAACACACACACACTGTACAAGTCAATAATCCATCATTCTCATATAAATTAAAAATAAAAACAGCAAAAAAAGAGATGGTCATTTTGTAAAAGCATGATTTTAGTTATTGACAAAGACAGAAAACTAAAATAACAAATACATTATATAAATATTATGATCAACCTGCTCTGTTTCAGGACACTGAAGTCTTAAATGACCAACTTAAAACTTCTTGCTCATTATTATGTGTACAATAGTTTAAAATACTCCAAAATTGCACACAAACTTATGATTTGCATAAATACCTTATTTAAATAAATAGCATGATCAATGTTTCACTCAAATGTAAGAGCTTATGTTACATTTAGGTGACACTTAATTAGAATATATAAGAAGCTTTCTCAAAAAAAAATAAAGAATAAAGGTAACTGTCCCCATGCTTAGCTTACCAAAATATTGTAAGATGGGTAAGACTGAAAAATAGAGACAAAAATGCAATTATATCCTATTTTAAGACTATTATATTAGTAATAGTTAAAATTCCAAATTAGATAAACACTGGTATCTGGGGTTAAAACTGCACAGCCGTCAAAAAGCAAGGCTGTAAGAAACTACCTGAATATTAGGGTGAACACACTTAGGCCGCTGGGCGTAGAAAAGCAATCCACTCTCAGGTTTAACTCATCCACCAGAGTCTACTGTCTGATTGTGTGCTATAGGACTCTAATTCTGTTCTTGGGATAAGGAATTCAGCATATGAAACACAAACCATGTCAACACATTAGTAACTGATATTCATAAATTGTTTCTTCTGAACTCATTACAAAGCACACCACAAATTCAAAAGAATATCTTGCATTCCTGAAAAAATGCAATGCTATGATATATTACATGCTAAAAATAACTGCTTAGTGGAAAAGTTATAAAAAGATAATTATCTATAATAGTATCCTTTCTTGGCTGAGGGGAAAGGGGACTTGTACGGGTACAGTGACTCAAAGAGGTAGAAAATATACAAGAATAAAATCACTAGAGAAAGTAAGGTAGAAAACAACACCAAATCTTGCATTAGAATTTCACCTACTATGGAAGGGAGGTACTGTGTGTGTTATAGAATAAGCTAATAATCAGTCATGCCTATGATATTACATGTGCTCCATTTATAGCAAATCCAGGAGATGACTCAGTGGGGAGAGCGGGCCACCAAGAGCAGATTACACATATCTTGTGACAGGCTGTTAAATTAAGCCAGTTCCAAAGTGGGCCTGCCCTGCTATGCTGGCTGCTCCCCAGGAGGCTCTAAAAGCACCCAAGTGCTTGTCATTTACTCAAGCTGTTCACTCAGCCAAGCAAGTTTCCTGGGGGGTGGGGGGGATTTCTTAAAGTACACAATTCAAAACGATATTGTTTTGCAGATACTTGTCTTATACCCAAACCTGCTTTTTAGTCAAAAGCTAATATCCAGCTCTGTGAAATTACTTCAAAGGACCTCTTCTTTGACATTTCTCCCCTCAAGAAACAAGAAACCTATTTGTTTTCCGATGTCTCCAAGGCACGTTTTCCAGTTTATTAAAATATATGGTCCAAATAAAATATCTAAGTTAATTTGTTATGTAGAACAGATATAGACGATCCAGTCTAACATTTCTGGGGGTCTCTTGGCAGCTCTCTGACTTACCCAGCTCATCCACAGCAGTCTCTCTCACCTGACAAATTCACAGTCCACACATTCAGAGACTAAGGTACTAGAAAACTCCACAGAACTCTTTCAAACTCCTGTGGCTTTCAGGACCAAGAACTATTATATGTAACATTCACTCAATAAATATTTAATGTGCACTGATCGTGTGCAAGTTTAGTGATCGTTTTCAGGAGATCCACAAAGGACTTCTGCTCTCAAAGAACATAAGCATTTCCATCAGGAAGTGGCCAAATGACTGTTTTGGTCAGGAAGGCAACAAGAAAGACAATTAAAACACACAGGTGTACTGTGAGCTGGAGTTCTATGTTCAAGGTGCATTTGAAATTACATTATCAGTGTCAGCACTATTTTTGCAGGTGTAAAATCCCATTTTGCTACTAAAGAAATCCTTTACACCTAAGGAATATTGTTTTGGGAGGCCAGATTTCAACTCAGTACATTTCAATTTTTCTTTAGAGAAACAGGTATGTGCTACTGGAAGAACTGGTTTTTATGAAAATAAGAGATAGCCAGAGATGAATCCTTGCTCCAATAATAGTGTATTTGAAGCATATTAAAGTTGATGAAACTGTAAATAAATTCAAATGCACTTCTCTGCAATTCAACTTAGCTTCTTTTAATAATCTTCTTTGTATAAATTCCTGGCATCAGGACAACAAGTGTTATGGTGCTGACATAGTAATGAGACCTGTGCTGGTTTATGTTGATCACTTCAAAAAAGAAGCATGCTGGGACTCTGCGATGAACACTAGTAACTCAATAGTCAGAACTGAACATGCTGCTACTTGAAAACTTAGACAGGAGAAAGAAAATCAAATGGAATTTTAAAAGAGTAAACTAAGATAGTAAGAACCCCATTTATTTTTTAAAACTACTACCCAGGTACACTAGATAAATCCCAAGATGAAAAATATTATTAGAGAAGAAGCACTGGGAAAAAATCAGTTATCAATCAAATATCAGATCATCTAGAAGACAGGTTAGAGTAACAGCTTGTCCGGCCATTGGACACATCACATTTCATGAGCATGGAGTTCATCTGATAGTGCAGGAACAATTGTACACATACCTTCAAACATCAGTGCTCTGGATTGTTTGAAAATTATGTCTACAAATCACCAGTTTACATGGCATACCTCAAGGGGTATCAGATATTGAAGAACAAGAGTATTTCCACAATATCATTTCTGTATCAGGTGAAGTCAAGTAAGTATCTACAGGACAGTTAGACCCCCATATGATTGTTTCATTTGACATTTAAAATGAGAGGGAGCATTACTTTAAGTAATAAATAAAGCACTGACCCTTTTATCCTTGTATCTTTCTAGTGAAATCTAACCATAGCTTTTCTTAATTATAATAAATACTCTACCTCCTGATGTCGTTGTAATGATGAAAACAGATAATATATATAAAATACCTGGGGCACTGTTAGTGCTAAATAAATGTTTGCTTTTATAACCAACTGATCAATTAAAAGTAACTTATTAAGTTAATCAAAATCTTTATTTCTGAGAGGAACATTGCAAACTGCTCAACAATTAAACGAAATTTAACCACAAAATCAAAGGGCTCAGAGTTTGAAGGGACCTCCACATTTCATACCAAATTTCCTACCTGACTTTGATTATTAAAGTATTTTCATCTAACTGGGTCCAAGCAGCCTAGCACTTTGTGAAGACTTCTCCACCAGTTAGTGGAAGAACAGGATGTAAGGATTCTAACATTACTGACACTGCAATGCTCTTTTTCAAAATGCATTCTAATTATTAGCAGTAAATATGAGGATGAAATTCATTCAACTGTCCGTCCATGAAATAGACTTTAAAAGATATACCATTATTATATTTGTATCTTTCAGCAAATGGCAGGTCAAACACGTAGAATAATAATCATAGAAAAGTGGTTGGGCATGAGAACTCAACATTTTTTTACCAGGCAGGAATGGAGGGGGCTTCTGATTCTTTACTTGTGTCACACTGTCCCCTACCTTGATTGCAGGTTTTCCCGGCATATCCAGGATGACACTTGCACTTGTCTGGTCCGACACATTCGCCATGTTTGCACTGTGGCTGGCACACAGCTGTGACAAGAGAATATCATGCATTACTTCTGGCTCAGCAGGACATCAACCATATAGTATCAATGTCATGTGCTAGATTAATAATAAAAAATCTCTAAGAATTTACAAAAGAGTAGCACCATCTGTATATTTTACAAATATACAGAAGCATCATGCCCTGGAGGGGTAAACACTGTCTAGAATACACACTCATACGCATGTACACTGTGTATCAGTGAGCACATGTATATATCACTTCAGGCTGGAAAGTTTGCAAACTTGAACACAATGCTCTAATAGTGAGAAAAACATATAAAACTATGCATGAACACAACTGATGTTTGCCAGTAGTGATAAATTGACAATGACCTGTACTCATATTTTCAAACTCATTAAAAGACTTTCTCTCAAATATACTTCAAAAAGTTGTTCTTAATCCAAAGATATTAACTCCAGATAAATTGTTTGAACTCCAGATAAATTTCCAATTTAATAATAAAATACTGTTTTCTTGGAAATAGTATTTCTAAGTATAAATGGTTCAAAATAAAATAAACATTAAAATTCAGTATTTTTGGAAATTCAACTTAAGAATACCTCTATTGCCCTGCTCTACCTTAACCTTAGGTGCATCACAACTGCTCATCAGTTTCACGAATGGCTTTCACAGCAAATAAAAAGATCTATCTTACATTTACTATCTTCCATCAACTCAAGTCTGTCTTTCCTCAAGACACCAAAACGCTAAGAAATCATCACTCAAAGCTTTTCCAGTCTTTGATTCCTGCCAAGATACTGCTTAGAACTTTTTGTTTACATTTGTGGTTCTCAACGGGGGAGTTTTGCCCCCACAGGACATTCGGCAGAAATGGGGACATTCTGGTTGTCACACTGGGGAGATGGTGCTACTGGCACTGAGTGAGGTAGACTACAGGAATACTGCCACACATCCAACAATGCTCAGATAGTACCCTGACCCCCCTGCAAATTATCCAGCCCAAACTGTGATGGTGCCAGATTGAGAAACTTTGCTCTGTACAGAACATGTGCACAGTGCTCCACCAGACACTAAAACGGATGAGAAAGCACTGCATGGTGTGGGCACTGCAGTCAGAGGGCTTACGGTCTAGACAGAGAGACAAAACAGGCATGGTTTTAACTGAAGGCAACATTTACTTATGAGCAAAATTAGTGACATACAAGAAATTTGTAAAGAAATCATCACACAAACATATCCACATAGATTTTTACAGAAAGCCGTACAGAAGAGACACTAGTTGGATCCTGAAGCACGGGCAGACAAAAAAGGGAGAAGACTGTCCAAAGCAAGTGGCCATTTATTCAGGCGACGTGAGGGGGCTTGTCAAACAAAAAAGGGAGGGTATGCACTGGTCGAAGAGTGAGGAGTAGACAAGCATAGGTGAGAGGCATCACATGAAATCGTTACCTCGATTTCCGAGGAATGTAGACTGAGGAATGCACACTCTGTCTATAGGAAATGGAAACCTGATCACCATCAGTAGAATTAACTGATAAAAATCAACACTTTGGTGTTATTAGCCTGATAACAATATGTAGAAAGGACTGGAAAGAGTCTAGTTGATATGAAGAAGGCATGATATGTTTTCGTGACAGGAAAAGATGGGCTTAGGTAGCCACTGAGTGATGAGCTGGCACGTCTTGAAGACAAAAGGAAGGGGGTCAGTGGTGACTCAAAGTTCTCAAGTCCCTGACACCGGATCCTTCCCACACTGGCCCAGGCTGTTCTCTGTCCTGGGATGTGCTCCCCGTTTCTGACAATTCTCTAATATTCCTGGGAAACCGACGTGCATGCTACTTTTGGTGCTTTCTACAATTCCTCACTCAGCCCTCACTAACCCTTCCTTCACCTGGACTCCACAGGCTTATCTGCCAATTTTACTTTCTGGCCTTTCTCACCCATTTGTCACTCCACCCAGACCCTGCACCACTACTGATCCTTGCCCAGTGCTGCTCAGATAGCACGTAATTTAAAACTTGCTGAAATAAAGGACGAGAAGAGTAGAAAGTGTAAACGGTAGAGAAATGTGCTTGGAAAATTCTTAAAATCTGATGATGCTAGACATCTCATAAAATTCAGAGAAACAACTTTTCAGAACTGTAAGAACAAATAAACTATCCAAGAGTACCTTCCAATATAATTTTTCAGTCAATTCTACACCTTGTAGATGGTTCAGATGCAGTTTTTAACACAAGTCTCAGAAATAAGCCATTTTTAAGGTCCTAAAACCAAGAAATGCAAGTCAAAACGAATTTTTTAAACTTAAAAAAGATGTTCCCTAAATCTTAAGAATTATATATAAACTTACAAAAGTTACAACCTTAGTGAATCAAGTATCACTGAGGTACCCAGACTGCCATACTCAAAACAAAAAAAGGAAATATCTCAAAATCAGTAAATGTAAGTCAAGGAAATCACCTCCCAAAATAAACAGAACTTGAAAATATCTCTAAACACATGAAAAAAGCAGTTTAGAAATCACCAGTTAAAAACATGGAAAAGTCCACTTGAAGAGACACTCAAGAGTGTCTCTTCATAGAGTGGACACTCTATGAAGTAATACGACCTGAGGTCCCCGGGTCTCATGGCCTTCTGACCCCTGACCAGCTGGAGGGCTGCCCATTCATAGTGCTGTCAGGTACTTTGTAGAAACAGGAGTTTTTATTGTCCCCTCCCTTTTTTGCTGTTTGCTCTCAGTGGAGCGCCCTAGTCTTAGGACATCAAATGCACACATTCCAAGAGGCCAAGGCTGTTAATGTGTCTTTCATGTTTACAGAGGCAGTATTTTCAAACTGCTGTTTGCACATCTGCCCAACATTTATTCACTGAAGTGACCAACGACCCATTTATTAGTCAACAGCTATTAAGTGGGATAGGATACACAATGTTGACATAAGCATTTTTTTTCTCTTACAAAATAAATGCCCTTAAAAATGCACAAAAGTACTTTTTCCTATTATCTTGCCGGCAGTTTGCAGTGAAATTCAATAAATATGCATTGAACATTTGTTATATCTAATGTATTCTACTAGACAGTATGGGCAAAATAGTCACAGAGGATATGAAAAATTAATTATGAAACTATAATATATTGGCCAAAACTTAACAAGAGCTGTGATAGAGAGGTGAGATCAGGGGTAGGGGTAGGGGCAGATAATAACTGACTACAGGTTAGGAAATGTAATCTGAGCAATACCTCAGAGGTAAGAGGCAGAGACACTAGGAAGGGAGACAAAGCCTTTGACAATGGAAGCAAAATAAAGGGGAAGGACAATGAAGCAGGTTCCCAGTGAGGGCCAATATTCTAGTTAAGCTGTGATGTGAAGTGCTTATAACAGCAGATGAGATCAAAAGACAGGCTAGAAAGATTATGAAGGGCACAAAGAAACTGATAGGTGCTCACGAATTTCTGTTTTTCTCTTCTTTAAAATAGAATGTCTGTCTGTCTGTATCCCTGTCTGTCCCTCCATGCATGGGGAATGAGTTAGCAATGGAAACTGCATTCCTTATTTGACCTGGCAGATGTGGGTAGCCAAGTGACTAAATTCTGGTCAGTTGTGTGTGAACAGAAGCTACTGGGTGGGACATTTGCAAGGCTATTTAAAAAGGTCCCGACTAGGATGCTTCCTTTGTCCTCTTGCCTGGAATAGATAAATCACGGTGAACTAAAGAAGCCACTCTGTGACCCTAAGGTAATATTAAGAATGAAAAAAGGGCAGAGCAAGAAATCACAATATTAACCCCAAATAGCAATCCTAGCAATGTGGGACACTGTTTGTGTCACTGTTACTTGCAGCCAAATACAATTCCTAACAGACTATCCTTGGGGAATAAGTTACACAGGGCTGCGGAACCTGAACTTAATGTGTATTCTTTATTAAGCCAGCAAATGTTTATTCTGAATACACTCTTAACATAGAAATGTTATGAGCAGATCCAAGTGCAGAAATATAACTCATATAATTTTTTATACTTATAATGCCACAAAATTATAGAAGTATCTAAAAATCTTCATTTCTATAGCTATAGAATTAGATTAGAAAATACATGTATATTCATATTGAGACTAGAGAAAAATGATTCCTGACTTCTGTATAAACTGGCCCACCTTTGATAACCTGCCATATTTTGCTGTGTATAATGCATACCCATGTTTTTGGCCCAAACTTTCAAAAAAAATCTTTCATTTTAATTTTTAAAACTCAATTATTTATTTATTTATTTTTAGAAACAAGACTGATTATCATATTCCAGGGTATTACTTGGCATAAGGATATTGTTATTGCTTTCTAGAGTTATACTTTTAACACAAAAGCATAAATAAAAGAATTAAAAACATGTATTTAGATACAGAATTAGTACTTACCCATGTATAATGCACATCCTTATTTTTCCCTCAAAAATTTGGGCAAAAAAGTGAGCATTATACACAGCAAAATATGGTACTCTGCTGTAACGTGAGCTCTCGGTAGCTAGCCAGCACACACCAACCTTGCAACCTGCTGGAGTAGCAAGCCATGGAAAAGAAAAGAGTAAGTGCTCCCTTCTAGTGGTCTGTTTTCGAGTGTTCTAAAAACATCAAAAACAGATTTGGAGGAAATAACGTTGTTTGCTACAAGTTAATCAGAAAATGCAGCATTGCTTCTCCGACCAGCACACAGGCCAGAGACAAGAATTTGGGGCCGTGTCTGACGGTCCCCTGTCATCCCTATGTGATTTAGCAGCTCAGTAATTAAAGTCAGGCAAGGACCACAGCTAGTCAACAAATGGCAGATTTTCTTACCCCCAAACTGAATGCCAGAATTAAACCAAAAGAGGCAAATCAGACTTGAAATTTACTAACATTCCTCCAGGATAATCTCCAAAGTGCCTTTAATATAACCTCTAAATTGTTACTTTAACCAGAAGAAGAAACAAGTCTCAACTGGCAAAGCAAACAGTGCTCCTTGATGTCACATGCCCAAGCCTCTTCTGTTTGCAA